CCCCCCCCCCCCCCCTGTCCCGGAAAATAGATGGGACATACAGGGAGATGTTTGAGGCATGAAATAGACAGGAAAGGACGGTAGCTGTGGTGGGTTGAATAGGCGGGAAGGGATATCCTTAGGATAGACAGACTATTGAAGACATTTTTGAGCCACCTTTCGCAAAGTAGAAAGGAACGATTGGCCATCGGTGATCGGTCCTGTGGGAACAATGCTCCGTCCTCTCGAGGACGCGTGGTCAATGGTCTAACCNCCCCCCCCCCCCCCTGTCCCGCCCCTTGCTATCTAGGCTTTGGACTTCCGCCAACCTCGTCGCCACCAAGAGCTCCTCCGGCAGAAGCCAGGAGCGCCCCGCGTCTCACCACGGGGTGCGGTGCGACCGGTGCAAGGAGGGACCGATCACGGGGTCCTGCTTCCGCTGCGCGGCAGGCTGCGCAGCAACGGCAGCGCCCAACGACACGAGCACGTGTCCGCCCCATGATGGAAAAAGCGGCGTCGCCAATGGCGTCAGCAGGGGCGTGAGGCGGCGCCACCAGCAGCAGCAGCAGCACCAACAGCAACACGAGAAGCCGTCCCCGCCGTCCACCATCTTGCCGCGATCTTCGGGCGAAACGCCGGCGAGGGAAGAGCGCGAAGAACGAACCGGGGGCGGCGGCGGCAACAGTTCTGGTACGCAGAAGAAGGGACATGGGGGAGCTAACGGCGGCGGCGGCGGCGGCGGCGGCTGTGGTTTTGGCAATGGGTTCTACACGCTTTGCGAGGCGTGTTTTCCCTACAGGCATCAGTTCCACCCACCGCACCCCTTCGCGCGCCTGAGGCCCGGGTTCGCAGAGCCTCGCCTATCGGGCCCAGTTCTTTACGAAGCTGTGTGAGTGCGATACGTTGACGGACGTACCAATGTAGCGGGCAGCACCTGAGTGCGGTCGGCTTGTGGTCTACGGAAATAAACCGCGTAGCAATTGGTTTGTGCGTGACGGTCATAAACCGAGCGGTTACCATTTACTCGGAAAGTGCCGTATTATGATCGCGGTGATGCAAGCCATGATGCGCCACCGGAACGGTGAACACCAGCCGTCGTACCGTCGCAAACACGTGTCTCTTCGTCCCACCTTTCCTTGCCCCTACCTGCAGGTGCGGCGACTGTTCTTTTGGCTCGCTCATTCTTGTTCGGCCTTTGAAGGCGCGAGAGGCCGCCCCCGGAGACACCGGGAGCGGAGATGGCGGAGATCTCTGGGCCGTGCCGGTGCGGGTGGACTCTGCGGGGCCTCTTCCGTTGTCGCAGGCACGTATTTTACATTTTTCCCTTCTTGGTGCTCGCGTTATCGTCTGAGTCCGAGGTATGTAGCGATATGCTTTTCTATTTTGGGTACGCACAGTATCGTGTGAGGGCGAAGTTTGTGAGAGGGCGAGGTTTGCGAGAAGCTGCTGCTGCTGCTGCTGCTGCTGCTGCTGCATACATGCGTATTCAATGAACTGCTGTGTCAGCAGAGCAAGGGATGCTGCTGCTATATGCATACGTGTAAATGAGTTGTTTCAGAAACAGAGAAAGGATTGTACACTCGAAACGGGAGTGTAAACAATTTCATGGATTTCGACGCTGTGTTGCCAGCATGCTGCTTGCGCTTCTGATGGGGAGCAGTCAATAGTTTTCCCATGTCGTGGACGGAGATGGGCGTACTGGTTGCATTGCCCGCCTTATAAGTCATATTTGCGCATTGATGTCCACCTTCTTCGTTATGGGACACCGTGTTTATCTCCATGTTGTAGAGATGCGGCCAACACCCCGCTACAAATCGCTCTCTACCCTATTATGTTTTTTAAGGAGGGGGTGTAATATCGTATGCTGCTTGTCTTGATCCTTCTGGGATTGACCAGTATTAGTTCATGACCTGAGACTCACAGAGCAATAGCCCTAGCTCCATCGCAGAAAAGGCAAGACCCTAGAGTAGGTACTGTACAAGTAGATTGGATGAGGAAACCCTGCTGCTGCAAGGCTAGCTAGCAAGTTTACAGGCGACACGTTGCCGCGTCCACTTGCAACAAAATGCCGGTTCACAATAGCAGTACCACCCACCACCACCTTTACCATCATCACCACTACCACCACCAGCCCATTTTTCGTTCATGCTCCAAGAAGCGGGTGAAACGGGTGGGGAGCGTGTGTGCTTTTGTACGACGCTGTGGGAAAGGTCCACAAGTCTGCCCCCCCCCCGACCCCTACCTTGCCGTAGTTCTCATTTCCAACCCTTCCGCCCGCTTTGCCTCCAGGTTAAGAGCCGCATCGCCGCCGGGGACAGGGACGATAACAGGGGACTGGCTTTCGCGTCAGATAACTGGCAGCTGCAGCAGGGCGGGGGGGGTGTTGCTCTCGAATCCCTGGACTCTCCGTGATGTCATTCTCGAGGACCGGGGGAGGGGGGTCGCTTGAAAATGCGCGAGGGTTATAGGGATATTTTGTACAGATCCCAAGAGTCCATAAGCGTATTTTGGTCTTGTGTCCTTTTTTGTCTCTGAGGATCGTTTACGGTCCCGACTTCTGAACTAGAAACGTTCAGCTTCCTTTGTAGCTGAGTAGCCGGTCTGCAAGTGGCTCAAACGGGCGTAGACCATGCCGGATTTGTGTTTATTGACGAATCCAAGTGCTTCCCCCCACCTCCCGTGTTTATGTAGCGGCTGTGTTCTCCGTGAAGACGGACTTCAGAGTGTGTATGCGTGTAGATCGAGGTTGAAGGGTAGGAACACTCGCGATCTCCTATTAGAGTTTGGACAGGAAGACGCTTGGGTGCTTGTCTGTTCAGGATGCCCTCTGTTGCCATACGTATCAGCCAATCTGTACACGCGCAACAAATGCTGAGGGATTGAATCGCTTTTTTTGTGCGAAGCAAGCGCGCTGGTGTGGTTGCCTGCGGGGACGGAAGTGGTGGCGAAAACCGGTGTGCGTTCGAGGGGTCTCGGGACCACACGTTTTCGGCTGGAAACGAAGGAGAGTAGCCTGGTCATGTGCTTTTGGTTTTGAGGACTCTGTTTTGTACGCGGCTGAAGCGGGGTTGACGGGGCAGGATGTAGAAGGATTCGACACCATAAAAGCAGAGTCGTTGCATGCAAACAGGCTGACGCGGCGGTGCGTGAAAGTTTCGTGTGTGTTGTGTCTTCTTCCCGTCTATTGATAATACACCAGTCGTACACTATTTGGTACATGTTTGATGCACCAGCCGTTGGGATCACACGAAAGGATGGTAAACACTGCAGTTTCTTCTTTCAACCTCTTCCCCGGCGGTTATTGCTTTCATTTTTTTATCGAGAGAAGGTTTGGTTCAGCATCACCATGCATATATCGTTTAATAAAGTTGATTGTGGATCTCCATCCAACACAGAGTATTATTAAGCCATCAATCGCCCGTCGGATAGGGGTGCAGCTGCATAGAATCATGCTTGCTTTTAGGACCATGATCTGAGTGGTATATACACCCACCACCCTGTGGAGAAGTCCTCACGGACTGCTGTACCACTCGTCTACATCGATGGCATGATGTTTTTGCAAAGGACAGTCCTTAGGGAGGTACTCATCTGCGGCCAACACCTGGCACGGCGAATACAACAAAGCCCGCCACCTTGTCGACTCTGAAAGTGTTAAAAGTTTTTAACGGTGTTGTCTACTGCTGACGAGTATCGCCACTTCCTAATACTTGTACAGTCGACGGTCCTCAATAGCGGTGCCCTCAATAGCGCGATGCCCTCTATAACGGCAACAAAATCGCTTGGCACGAATGTATCCCTCAATAGCGGTACGTGTGCCGCTATTGAGGAATGAATCCATGATAGCGGTATTGCGCCGCTGAAAAAGACAATATAATGCAAGACAAAGGCAAGGGGAGCATCAAAGGTCATGACGATTCAGGGGTGGCGGGGCTGACGGCTGCACTCAATGCGCTCAGTATGGGCGTGAAGGAGGTAGCGGTGGGGGGTGGTGAACAAGGCTCAGAGATATGCGAGATACTCTCGTACCTCGGCGTCGTCCCGGGCAAGCAAACCCACCACACCGGCAGCCATCGAGGAGGTCGAGTCTTGGGGTGCAGCTAGAGGAGCGGGATGAGGTGGTTAATGCTCGCGCCGCGGACGCGGAGGCGGCTCTCAATGAGCACATAAATGACAACTTTACAGAGGACTCCGACTCCGACGGGAGGAGCTGAACGACACGGGGGAGGTTAAGAGTGCTGGGGGTAGGAAGTTGATGGCGCCGCCGCCATACTCGGATCTGTCGGAATTTTTCGGTCCACTAGAGAAGTACGCACTGTCGGCTGGAAATAACGAGTCTGAGCATCTTCTTCGCAAGGCCAAGAAGATGTCGTTCCTCGCAGCCCACGCCGCCAAATAAACCAGTCCAGCATTCAGACATGAGAATATTTCTTGAATCATAGGCGCGTCGGTCAAGCACAGCCGCAGTAGGACTGTCTACTCTTCTTTAGCATTTTTTGTGGACGCTGTGTGTGGCTTTGTTTGCACCTACCTGTGGTTATTGATTTAACGTTGCTATCATTCTGTTTTCTGTGCTGTTCGTTGCTCTACTACGATACGACGTGGGGGGCGTAGTGTTCAGTACAGTTCAGCAGTACTGCACGATGGTGAGGATTTCTGATTGAGCCAACTCAATCCTGCACAGTACTACCCCAGTACAAGAGTACTGATCTGGTGTCATTACTAATTCATAGTAACAACAGCAGACTATAAACATGCTGCTCAACGAGTGTATTATTGGACGCAATGGCGTAGGTAACACATGATACCAACGAGCGTAGCGCATGTAAAAAAATATGGCTTCGTGGCCGCTCTTATTCTCATTGGCGGTGTTGATACCGCTATTGAGGGATGGCTTCGGCGTTGTTGCCGCTCTCATCCTCAATAGCGGTATCAATACCGCTGATAAGAAATAGCGGTAGAGTACCGCTATGGAGGAATAGCGGCAGTGCCCTCAATGTCGGTATCAAGGTCTCTCGTCACTACCTGCCGCTGTCGAGGACCGTCGACTGTAGGCAGAAACCTGTGGTTGCATCTCGAACCGGTAGTCTTTCAATGTTTTGATGTATGATTTACTATTATTAGGAAAAATAAATACTAACACAGAGAGACTACCTGATCGAGATATAGTCTGACCCCAGCAGTCTTCTACAAAGTAGCAACCAAACTGCGACTTACCGTAGGGGGCCCTCTATAGTGCCGGTATGTGTTCAGAGAGCAAAGCGGCACTATACCGGGCACCGGCACTATTCAGAGTACAGAAAGACTTGATATTCCGGTGTGTGCGAGCCGAAAACACCGGCACTATACCGGCAACCGGCACTATTCAACCGGCACTATATCGGGCCACCCACTGACTGTACCTTCTACAGTCGGCATAAACTGCTGTTGAGATCCTCCCGTGATGTGCCGCACACGCCGAGAAACCAATATCATGTATTTTTATTTGTTCTCTTCACATTGAATAACTCGCTCCGGTCTCTGCTCAGTAACTTCTTACACCGGTACCAACCCAACTGACGCGGACGTCTCCCATGGCAACAGGCTAACCACCCAAAGTAAAAGGCAGAAGGTGTCAACGGCGGCGTCAACATATGACACATGCGGTGTAATTAGTCAAGATCTAAGGGGGGGCAGGGGGGTCTCGTCCGCTGTGTGTTTTGCGGAGCCCCCTTTTCGTCCAACACACCGGCCGCCAGCCGCGCACGCTCAGCACACAACCCCAACCACCCCTTCTCTAGAACCCCAACACATCAAACATGGCAGCTGTCGAGGGAGAGAGCATAGGTATCGACCTGGGCACGACCTACTCTTGTGTGGGCGTGTGGCAGAACGACCGCGTGGAGATCATCGCCAACGACCAGGGCAACCGCACGACTCCGTCCTACGTGGCCTTCACCGAGACGGAGCGCCTGATCGGCGATGCCGCCAAGAACCAGGTGGCGATGAACGCCACCAACACCGTCTTCGACGCCAAGCGGCTGATCGGCCGCAGGTTCACCGACCCGGCCGTGGCCTCCGACAAGAAGCACTGGCCCTTCGACGTTGTCGAGGGCGCCGGCGGCAAGCCCACGATCGAGGTGTCTTTCAAGGGCGAGAAAAAGCAGTTTGCGCCTGAGGAAATCTCCTCCATGGTGCTGGTCAAGATGAAAGAGATCGCCGAGGCCTACCTTGGCAAGGAGGTCAGTGCGTGAGAATTTGGCGGGTTCAGGTTTGCTGCCGATCTTGTTGTGAGCTTGGTGTGAAACATCACTGGTGGTTTGATCTTGACGGGCAGCCGCCTTGGTTTTCAGATGTCGACAAGCTAATCCAGCGAGGGACAATAAGTGGCCACGGAGAGAGCTCCCCCACGACCTTCTCTACGCGCGCGCCTATTCGCCGTGAGCGCGTGTTCGCACGTTAAATAGTTGCGCGAAGCAGCAGTCGCTTGTGTTCAGCTAGTACAACGCCGAAGCTACGCAGGTCGTGTCTTGCGGGGTGTGTGCACCCGTGTTGGCGCCATTTGCTAAAATCCGGTTTCTCCGTGTGTCTCGTCAGAGTTGGATCCAGAACCTTTTTTTCGGACACATGGCCGTGCTCTTCTTAATACACATTTTTTCTTCTAATTACGACCCAATGAATCCATCTGCCCTCGCCTCCTTTCACCCGCGCTGTAGGGGTGTAGTTTCCCCGGGGGGAACGAGATTGCGTAGCATGTGTGCGTACGGCTGGGGTTGAGATAACAAGCAGGAGTGGTCGCGGGTCCACGTTTTGCTTTTGGTCACCATGTGTATCCCGGGGAGGTATGTGCGGTCCGCCTTTCCCGCACTTTTTTTAAGAACTTGCCGGGGAGATAACGCCCCGGCCGTGCCGATGCTGTGCGCGTCACCGTGCCAGCACAGACTGCGCCACGTCAGGCTGGTCTTGCGTCGACAGGGCTGAGGATCGGTGTGCTGTGCACACCTCGCCTCCCTCCTCGTCGCTCACTGTTTTTCTTTCCCTCTCTTCCCATGGGTTTTCGTCGTTTGGCAACGACGTTGTAAAACAAGCCAATTCACTTCAGTGAACTCGGCAACCAGGTTACCGTTTTTTTTTTGCGGTAACCATAATGGTGGTCGAGTAGATGATATTGTGCGGGGTGGAGAACCCTCGCTCCGCGCAAGGGGGATGATCGCAACACGTTGTGTTAAAATGGTCAAGCACCCTCGAGGCAGTTACACAGTGCTTACAACTGTCTCTGGAAGTGAAAGCACCAGAAAATAAATTAATTCATACGCAGCTGTCATCCGTACGCAAGGAGGTAAACACAAGATGCCGAAAACCCTTAGCAGGATGCAGCGCACCCTTCATGCGACTCGCCGAATATCTCACGGCGCTTCGCGCTTGGTGATGTGAGAGCCTGGTCCGGTGAGAACCCGGCGTGCTCCGTCCCGGCTTTGTAGGGATGCGAGGTCAATGGTCTAA